CGCGCCGCCTCGCCGCCAGGACCTGGCCCAGGCTGGAGTCACGGCATTGCGAACGGCGAATGACTTGTCGCGCAGCGCGAAGGCCATCAAAACATAGTTGCGCCTGGAAGACATCGCCGTCTCGGAGCGGACGCGAACGCACTGCTCGGCCCCGGCCCCCGCTGCCGCAACTCCTGCGCAGCGTGGGCCGCCCTGCCCCGCGGCCCTTCAGACCGCAACGCGCGCCGCCACCGCGAGACGCCCCCGCCGGCGGCCGCGAGCAAAGAACGCCCATTCCGGGGGACAGAAAGCTCCAGAGCGAAGAAGACCACCTCGAAGCTCGCCACTTGCTGCACAGCACACGCACCATCCGGCGCCCAGGCGGGCCCGGCTTGCCACGCGTCTCGTCGGGGGCGAAGCCGCCCGACAAGGAGGCCTGGACTGGCAATCGTCGGACTCGGCGAACGCACGTGACCAGCCGCTGGAGACGACGCCGTGGATCACCGTGCCGCTCTAGGTGTTCGAGCTGGTCGCGGGCGAAAGGGTAGGGGGCGCTGGGTTCGCCCCCCGTGACCCTTGAAGGGCGAGCTCCCAAAGCATCGAGTAGCTTCGCAAACTGCGAAGGGCAACTGACCCAGGCAGGGCCCGCGATCATCCTGTAAATTTCTGAAGGGCGCAACCAGGATGTGCAAACTGCCAAATTCTCGCGCGCCTGAGGGCCTTCGCTGTCGCTATGAAACCCTATTGGCCCCTTTTGCGAGCGTCGCGGCCCAGGTCGCTGCACTCGCGGCGGGCGCACTCGCCGGCATTGCGCATGTTCTCGGAGCGCTCGTCGCTCAAGGCTTGTCATGACAGCATAGTAACTGAGGGCCCGCGCGTCCCCCGCCGAGAGCTGGCATTCCCGAGGAGCCCGCCCGGTCGGAAACTGTTGGGCGCTGCAAGAAGCGCGGGCCTTCTAGTTGCGGCTCTTCAGGCCGACGCCTGCGTTCGCCAGGGGTCGACCTAGCTTCGGGGTCATGGCCATGTCTCTCCGCCTGCGCGCCTGGCCGAGCTCCGCCCAGGCGCACTGCTGCCGCTCGCGGAGCCTGCGACGGCTGAGCGAGCGTGGGACACCGGTGTAGTTCTTGATGGCTGTGCCCAAGGTCGCGGCCTCTACGCGCATCTTCGCCTCCTCCTCCGCCGCTGCCTTGGCCGTCTCCCCTAACGCCCTCCATATTTTCCCATGGTCCCTTCTAAGCTCCCCCAACTTCCTCTGGCACGCTAGCCTGAGAAGTTCCTGCAGGAAGTTCTGCAGCACCACCCCGCGAATCGTCGCCGTGACCAGCACGGCACGACCAGTGGTGGCCTCCCGCGACTCCAAGGTCTCCAAGGACGACGTGATCTCCGGGATGGCCTCACTCATGTCCTTGAAAAACTCCCAACGCTCAGTGAGTAGCACGCCTGCAAATCTCTGTCGATCCCATCGCTCACGGAATGGTGTAGTGTTGCTCAACGGGGCCACCGGTTGGAATTTCATCGCCACTGGGATAGGATCGAGGATTGCCCAACAAAAACTTGATACTTTCTCCACTGCGCTCCCATGCAATTGACAAGCGTACCAATCCCAATGCACTCTGTGGCATCCCGATGCAACCCATCTGCGACTCCGCACCGCCCATGCCCTTGTACGTGCTACAGACGGGCCAATAGGTCTTGGCCGCGGAAAAGCTGGGATCCGTGAGCATGTCGTGAACCAGCTTCCACGCGTCGGGTTCCCTGTCGGCGCCATAGTCCCCCACGACCGAGTCGTCCTCCTGATGCTACTTGATCCCCGAATTCAAATGCATCAGCACCATGGGGGTGTAACGATGTGGTAGTCGAAGACATGGTGATCGCGTCCACTCCGTGAGCATCGTGCATGTGCCCTTCCATGTCTTCGCCTCCCCTCTTTTCGACGGCTGTGGTGGGCAATCTAAACAATACGACCTGCGACCACTAGCGGACCAGATGCCACGTAAGTGATGCCCGCACGTCCTCGAAGACCTGCTGGTGGTACAATAACCCGTCGGATACAAGACGGCCCGAAAAAAACTTCTTGGCAAGCAGCAGCGTGAATCGGCAGCTCTTGTTCACAAATCTCGTTCGCCCTCAGCAAAAGTGAACCTCGTGAAGCCCTGCTGCTCGAGCTATGCGATACGCCACCCCCCCCCCCCCCCCCCCCAGAACGACCGAAAACATGTGCCTGACAAGCCCGCGACGCCGACGACGCGCAGCGACTCGGAGACCTCGTCCAGCCTCGCCGCGCTGCTCTGGTTCTGCGGGTTGTACACTGCCACGAAGCACTCCCGCGCGTCCGACATGCAGGCAGCGCTGCACCACGCAAGGAGCCAGAGCTCAAAGCGTGCCCGCCTGCCCCCAAGGGGGGGGCGCACTCTGGCTGTCATGGCTGCCCCGAGGGCACGGTTGCCCCCATCGCGGCGCGCGCTCCTGTTGAGGGACTCCGCAAATGGGGGGACATGCGCGGGCGCGGAGCCTGAGGACGAAGAGGATGAGGAGAAGGAAGGACAAAGAGAAGAAAAACTTAGCCTGGCGAAGGACCCAACCATACGCAGCTGCGAGTACCGCACGGATATGAGACGAAGGAGGGGGCACGCAAACTAGGCCCCTCTTCTCATAGGCACCGCGCCACTGCATGGACGAGGCAAAGGGCAGCGCGGGCAGGAGGTGGCGGGCGGAGGAGGAGAGCTCACTGGGGCGAGCCAACACATCAGTATCATCATCGCATCATGAGACCTGTTACTGGGCACGCAGGAAGAGGTGACGGAGACACCCTGTAGATGTCGAAGGCAGGTCAGCAGCGGCAGAAACGAGACGGGGAAGCGCGCGGTCAAGAAGCGATGGGAAGCAGGAGGAGCGAGAGACGAGGGGAGACGTTTTTGCCTCCAGACCGACAGCGAGCCACGCAGAATGCAGCGCGCAGGCGGCGCCGCGCGAAAGTGCCCGGGAAGTCCTCGCCGACGCGGTCTGGTCATCCCGAGGGAATCCCATCGACGCGCGGGGGTTGTCCACTGCGACTCTGAGTCAACGGATAGCGCCCCCGCACTGCGTGGCGAGGCGTGCGAAAATGGCGCGATCTGGGTGAAATCCCCCGACAGGCGCTGGTCATCCTCTGGCGAGAAATCCCGACGACGAGCTGGGGTCATCCAAGCGTCAGCGACAACCAGCGCGCGCCGCTGGCTCGTGCGGGGCCGCCCCCCAGGTCAGGCCTCGCGAATGAACTCGCTGAAGCCCAGCTCTCTGGCGAGGGCCGTCGCCTCCCTCCTGCGCCGCTTCGTGCGCGCAGCAAAATGCCCCAGCTGCTTCCGCAAGCCCTCCGGCGGCCCTGCCAGGAAGAACTCGATGAGCGGCGCCCGCATGAGCAGGAGATCCTCGTGGCGCGTGGCGCGCGAGAGCAGCACGTAGAGCTCCAGCCACCAGTCGTCGTCCTCCTTCTTGCCGTTCCCGACCTCGTGGCGGCCGCAGTCCAGGATCACGCCTGGGCGGCGTCGGTCGAGGGAGCGGCGCGCAAGACAGCCGACGGCCCAGGGCGAGAGTCCACGGGACCGAGAAGGTCCGGCTGCGGACCGCTCGCGTTCGAAGGGTTCGGCCGTAGACTGCCCGGTGGCGCCGTTCCCCCGCCCCGCCGCCTTCCCGCATGGTGCGCCCCTGGCACGCCACCGTGGTGATGACCCTGCCGTGTGAAAACGGGAAGCCCGTCCGGGTGACCTTGGAGGTGCGGAAGGTGAACGGCTCCGACGTGCGGGGCTCGATGAACACCAGCGGGCCCGTGAGGTCCCCCGTGAGGCTGTCGTCGTGGCGGGCGGCATGCGAGGTCTGCCACTGGGGCCTTCGGTGGAGCTCCCTATGGGGCCACGAAACGTGTGAGGGGTGTGCCGAAATGGGGTGGCGGCGGCATGCGAACGCAGCCATTTGGGCCTTCGGTGGAGCTCCCTGTGGGGCCACGCAACGTGTGAGGGGTGTGCCAAAATGGGGTGGCGGCGGCATGCGAACGCAGCCATTTGGGCCTTAGATGGAGCTCCCTATGGGGCCACGAAACGTGTGAGGGGTGTGCCAAAATGGGGTGGCGGCGGCATGCGGACGCAGCCATTTGGGCCTTCGGTGGAGCTCCCCATGGGGCCACGAACGTGTAAGGGGTGTGCCAAATATGGGGTGGCGGCGGCATGCGGACGCAGCCATTTGGGCCTTAGATGGAGCTCCCTATGGGGCCACGAAACGTGTGAGGGGTGTGCCAAAATTGGGCGGCGGCGGCATGCGGACGCAGCCATTTGGGCCTTCGGTGGAGCTCCCCATGGGGCCACGAAACGTGTAAGGGGTGTGCCAAAAATGGGGTGGCGGCGGCATGCGGACGCAGCCATTTGGGCCTTCGGTGGAGCTCCCCATGGGGCCACGAAACGTGTGAGGGGTGTGCCAAATATGGGGTGGCGGCGGCATGCGGACGCAGCCATTTGGGCCTTAGATGGAGCTCCCTATGGGGCCACGAAACGTGTGAGGGGTGTGCCAAAATTGGGTGGCGGCGGCATGCGGACGCAGCCATTTGGGCCTTCGGTGGAGCTCCCGATGGGGCCACGAAACGTGTGAGGGGTGTGCCAAAATTGGGTGGCGGCGGCATGCGGACGCAGCCATTTGGGCCTTCGGTGGAGCTCCCTGTGGGGCCACGCAACGTGTGAGGGGTGTGCCGATGATGATGATGATGATGATGATGATGATGATGATGATGATGATGATGATGATGATGATGATGATGATGATGATGATGATGATGATGATGATGATGACCGACAACCACGATGTGGATGATGATGATGACGATACTCATGATGATGAGCATGATGAGGATGGTGATGAATGATGATGGGAGGAGGGGGGAGGGGGCAGCGGGAGGAGGAGGAACGCGGGGCACCGTCTCTTCAAAACGAGGACCCAACACCACAGGATGGTTGGGAAAAAAATGAGAACCGCGGGGGCGGCGCGGCGGCTCTCTC